ACTTGACCTAGCTCACAAGAGTCGAAGAGGGTAAACGTGAGGCTTGGGAGGCTTGGAAGGCCTTGATGGGACGGAGGTGCCAGGACGGCACACACCTAGGCCGCCAGGACGGGGGGGCAGGGTGTCCCACCCACCCTAGCCCCCACCATACAAATACACGTCTACAATGAGCTCAACATGGGCCTGAAAGACGTCATTGGAAATCCTGACCTGAAGTCTTTGTCTGTCGGTCAATGCCGTGAAGTCCCAAGGTACCTGCCGGGTTCTAAGTGTGGGGGGACCTTCCCGCCACCGAGCTGTCGAAGATATCTCGCAAGGTTATTTCTTTGATGCCAGCTCTATGTATGTTGTTTTGTGGAGGGTCCAAACCTGCACCGTGTCAGCTCTGGAAAGGTACCCTTTTTCACGATCCAATGGAAGATCTACGATTTACTGAACGCACCACGGTTTCAACTAACGTAACGTGCGTCTGCATCATCTGGCCTCCGTTGGCCTTCAAAAGAATACGGCACATCATCTGGCCTCCATTGGCCGCACGGCAAACAAGTTCGCCATGAAGACGAGCCGCCTGAGGATCCTCCTCGGGACAGGATTAGCAAGAGGGCCTCGGTAGAGTGACGGCTCGAACGGCCACTCGACGACAGATGGTAATGGATTTGGGAATTCCTCCTGCACAATGCCAGGATTGTTGGGTTCAGACTCTGTCAGTGCTTCAGACTCCGCCCTCGGGGTGGATCGCCCACCCCCACTCGTCGCCGTCATCCGTCGCCTATTGGGGTCAGCTTGGAGCCATCGCGGGGTCGCATCAGGATCGCGGGGTCAACTTGGGGTGCCTGGGCAGGGCTGTGCATCCGCATCTGTGTGAGACATCTTCGCAATTGAGTGCCTATGTTTCAGCTATGTTTCCGGGCTTGCCTCGTCTTTTTCACGCCCAGGAGCGCGCATGAACACTGCGGTCTCCAAGACCCCTCGTCCTCCTCCTTCCCCGTCCTCCCTCCTCTATGTCATCGTCGTCCTGCCTCTTGCTTCTCTTCCCTGGGGGCTGCGAATCGCGAAACTGTCGCCACTATCGTAGGCCATACAGAGGTCCAGCGGAGTGGTGTCTCACGGCGATCAGAATGGGACCTCGCCGTTCCTGGGAGCTGCGAACTGCGCAGCTGTCGCCACTTTGTGGGCCCCTGGGCGGTCCAGCGGAATGGGGTGCTCCAGGACGAGGTCTGAGGTTGAAGCCATAGATTTTGGAATAGCGTTCCAAACACATTCAGCGCCAGGTTTTGGAATGCCGTTCCAAAAGCATTCACCCCTAGATTTTGGAATACCGTTCCAGACACAATCAGCCCTAATTCTTGAGCCTACGCTATCTGTTCACTGCTACCCGCCGCCGTCGTCGTCGGCAGGTTTAGTCGTGAACCAGGGGGGGACAAGTTTGCTATCGCGTTGTGGTGTTCATTTTCGCCGTCGTCGTCATCGTCGTCGGCAGTTGAGTCTGGAACCAGGGGGGAACTTTGTTAATGTGTTGTGGTCTTCATTTTCGGGTCGTCGTCGTCGTCGTCGTCGGCAGGCTGTCCGGAATCATCCTCCATCCGCTCTCGCATGGGACCCTGGAGACGAGCGCAAAGAAGTGTGAGGGAACGGGAAGGAGGACGAAGGATGAGGAAGGGGAAGGCGGGGGGAGACAGGGGGTTATGAGTGGGGGGCGAGTGAGGGGATGAGCAGGATGATGGCGTGGAGGACGACAATGACGACGATGAGGGGCAGAGAAGGAGTGCACAGGGCAAACGAGAAACATGATGACTTCTGGGCCGCCCACCTTGTTGCTTTCCAGGCGTTCGCAGGGCCATCGGAAGCCGAACGGCGAGTACCCTTACGAAATCATCGCTTGGGTTTGCGGCCTTTCGGGGGCGTCCCTTGGAAGCGAGGCTGTAGGCACCTCAAGCTGTCCCAGCGCCCTCATGGAGCTTGAATCTGTTTCAATTCCAAATTCTCCAAACAGTGCCTGCATTCAGGCTTCTTGTTTTCCCCGCATCCAAAGTGGGGTTCTTGTTTTCTCTGCACACGCCGCGCAGGATCTCACCCCCTTTCCTCACTCACACACTCACACACTCACACATTCAGCATCATCATCACCATCATCATCATGAATCAGCATCACCACTCATCTTCATCATCCTCATCATCGTCACCATCATCATCACTCGATCACTCACTCACTCACTCACTCACTCACTCACTCACTCACTCATTCACTCACTCACTCACTCACTCACTCACTCACTCACTCACTCATCATCATCATCACTCACTCAGTCACTCACTCACTCAGTCACTCACTCACTCACTCACTCACTCACTCACTCACACGCCAACCTCACTCACTCACTCACTCACTCATTCACTCACGCACTCACTCATTCACTCACTCATCATCACCACTCACTCACTCATCACTTCGTCATCACTCACCCCCCAGCGTGAATATGGATGAAGTCTCAAGCGGGAG